TTTTTTTTTTTACTTCCTATCATTTTAGTAAATTTACCAATTAATTTGAGCTATTTTAAAAACGTGTATCTAAAATGCTTTATAATTTTCACTAATTTATCTGACTTTATTCATGCTTCTTACATAACTTTTTAATTTGTTTTAAAATTCTCATAATTATTTACAATTAATAAGTTGTCTCAATATTATAAAAAAAATTGATTTAATATAATATACATATTTTAAGAAAAATTAAACATAAATTAGAAATAACTTTTTCCAAATAATAAAATTCACAAATTTCCGATTTCCAGATTATAAATACAATTTATATGGTAAATATTAAATACAAATTCTCTCAATCATATATACAAAAAGTTTTCATAATCATTTGCAATTAATAAGCTATTCCAATTAATATCATAAAAAGAGATTAACGTAATATTAATATATGCAACACTTTTTCTTGCCATTTCAGTGGTTAAATTCGACTCTATATTAATATATTCAAAGATTTAGTTGACCCACTTTTAACTACATGAGAAACGCCATATTGTTTGCTCCGTTCAAAACTTTGTTTGGAACGGCGAACGGCACGTGCTAGTGACGTCGTTGATGACGTAGGACTAACCCTGTCTATTGAGTACCTGATAGGTGCTGATTGATATTCGAATCGTCTCATGTAAGTGCAGTCAGAATGGCTTCTTTGTGGTGCATTTGTGATCAATGAACATATTTTGTTTGTGTTTATCCAAATTGTTAACTGTGATTGTTGAAATATCTGTCATAAAAATCAAAACAAAACAAATGTGTCCTTTCATCTGACACTGCAGGTGACTTTGGTATGGTCATTTGATCTCTCGTACTTAATTCATTAATTTATTGACGCATTCTTCATTTTCTTCAAACCATATCAGCTACTCCATTTGCCAAAACAAAATGAGTGTTCACCTTGAAGTTAAGAACGTAAGTTTACCTTACGTTAATAAAATAATATTTTCTTTGAAATATTGTTTGTTGTGAGAAAGTCGGTATCTTTAAAATTTCATCAGAAGATAATATTTGTTGAATTTATTCTAAATGTCTTATTGTATACTTTATCTAACGAAATATACTATCTCATTATTTTCAGTTTTGTGCAAATATTTTGTTAAATATAAGAAAATCCGGCATGATATTTTCGTTATATTCATAACACCTTTTCACTTATTGAAGTTATAATATTCCTTAGATGCTTTCAAATTTTTGATTTTTAATGTTTGAAGTTATCCCTGACATTTTTTAAAGTTCAATTTGAAATATTTATGAAATGAATAGTACACTATTATTAAAGTACAGAATTAAAATTAAAGTTATATGTTGAAGGAGATAGTGTAATAAAATTAGGTGATCTTCTTAGCATTTTTTGTGTTATTGATTAAAAACTCAATAATTGTTTATTTAAAGAAATTATAATTTTTGTCCGGAAAATAATTTTTTTGTTAAGTTCTGTAATAATAATTCCTGATTGTTACATTACCTCCAGAACAACCTTTCTTATTATTGTTATAGATTTTCAAAAAAATTCACTAATTTCAGATTGTATTAATACTTTTGTCATAATTGTATTTATAGTAATTTAAATGACATTTTTCATTCTAAAAGTTCTGTCCAAATTTATTAAGTAAATATTTACTTTTCAAGTAAAAAATCAGTTGGTATTACTTCTATATCAATTAATATCAGCGCTAAGTGAAACTGCTTGGTTCTGTCTTTCTTTAATATTTTGATCCAGTAATATTTTATATTTTAATGGAAATTACAACATTAAATTGTTTTTAGGTTTATTAGAAATGGTTTGTTTAAATAAGATGTCAAAGCACATTTAAATTTTTGTGCTATTATTTTTAAATAGGCAACTTTCTTTGGAGTTTTATGCTCTGAAAGGATCGTTTTGTAACAAATATTTTTTTTACATCCATTCGATTAAATGGATATGTTCAGAGATTGATAATCTTCGTCAATTTCTTTGTCAAAATATACTTTATATGTATTAAAATTTTTTTAATGATAATTTGAACGTTTTGAAATTTGTTTAACATAATAATTTTTTAATAACTAATCTAATATTGTCATGCCATGTAATATCGTAGCATAATAATGTTAATGTAATTTTTAAAAAAAATTATTTTATTTTATTTATTATTTTATTTTAGAATGTTTTATGAAGCATTTTACTTTTATATTTAATAGAAAGCAACTTTTCTTACGTTATTTTACAGAAATTTGGTCATCAGAAAAAGATAAGTGATACGACAGAGTTTAAAGAACTGACCAAAAAAGATGCCGAGATTCAGCTTTGTCATGAATTGGAAAAATTGCTCATTACTGCTACCACTGATAAAGAGGTAGGCATAAATGTTTAACATTCCATGTAAGCCTCATTTTTACGTTCTTCATTTATTGCACAACTTCATAATATTTAAATAAACTGATTAATTTTCTGGATAATTTTAATAGCTCATTGTTCTTACAAATATTTTTTCATTAGATACCATTGAAATATTTTGTGCAACTATTTTCTTTATTTTTTAACCTCTTCTCGCTGTGATCTCTGACAGCAGTTCATCTTTATATTGGTAGAAGCTGTCAGTTACTAATGATATACGTGGAAAAGCTGTTAACTATCATCATCATCATCAAACATATAAAATCTTAAAACTCTTCTACTTTTGCCATCTCAGTAATACTAAATGATTAAAATTCAAAAAATTAGGAAAAAATTCAGTATTTTTTTACAGTTTGTAGTAAAGCTTAGAAGTTACAATTTCTGAAAAAGAATAGGTTTAATTTTTTTAACTTAATATCGCCTGCCATCTCAAAATTGCTCCACTAAGGCAGCAGAACAGAATGTTCGAAATGGATTTCTTCTGCCACCTCAATAGGCTATTCTAAGCTTTGGCACTGTTGAGATGGTAGAAGATTTCAATTTTAAATTTATAAGATTTTTTGTACTAGTTAATGCGGGTAGTCATCAACTTTTTTGTTTGACTATTTAAATATATAAATTTTTTTGTATGAAAATATGGATATAAAAAGAAAGCGGTCTTCGTATTGGACTCCAATTTACGATGCAAAGGTTAATTAAAAATAGAGATAAGTAAATAAAATGAAAGTTAATTAAAAATGCTCTACAAATAAATTTTTTATCTCTTTATGATTATTTCCGATTGCAACTGCCAACTCTTTTAATAAGGACTGTTTTATATAGAAATACAGTTTGTAATTCTTTTATTTATGTATATTTTTAAATTTTATTTTTTCTGCCACAAACTCCAGTTACCTATTTTATCTATTAAACTATCTTATTATTAAACTATTCTAACTTATTCTGGAATAAAGAACTCCCTATCACTATCTTATTTGAAAAAAAAATGGTTGTTGGTATTTTTTAGCTGAAATTTTTATGTATGTTCTTTAAACTGCTTCTTAATTTAAAATTTTGTTTCGTACAAACATAAATATTGAAAGTTATATAATAATGCTACTAATTTGAGATCTTGCTTTTACTTTGAAGTGCATACCTTATTACATTATATTCCCTTATTAATAAGACATGTTTTTTACAAAGAAATATGAAGTGGATTTCAATGGCTTCCAAAAACTATTTCGTCAGTTTCTACAAGGAACTGGGCCATCTGTTCAATGGGAAAAAATTGAACCTCTACCAGTTGACGCAGTAAGTTTCACACACACATTTTTCTTAATATAACTCAATATATATAATTTAAATTTTTATTTGAATCTAATTGAATTTTACTGTTACAGGTAAAAAATTATGCATCACTTCCAGAACCTCCCGTGTCTTCTATAAAATGTATGCTTAACAAGCTGGTTGTCATAAAGTTAAATGGCGGTCTTGGTACAAGTATGGGATGTACTGGGCCAAAATCTGTAATACCTGTTAGAAATGATCTTACTTTTCTTGATCTGACTGTTCAACAAATTGAGGTGATAATTTTTTTATTTTAAATATTTTATTATAGGAGTACATAATTGTTACAGAGTGAAAAAAATTAAAGGTATTTATTATGTAGTAAAATTAAATATTAATGTGTCGTATAAACACAGTTTGAATGAAAAAGTAGTGGTGTACAAATGGTGTTTAGCAAGGGAAAATTCTAGGAAAACAAGAAATTAACATCAACAATTCTAAAAGGAAAAAATAAGACAAAAAAAAGAATTATTAAATATTCGATAGAAAAAAAATAGCTTAAACAAAATGACTGAAACTAACGAATCCTAGATCAAAATAAATAGTAATCATCACAGGTCACTGTGACAATAGGCTTTTTCAGAAAAGGACCATGTCTTAAAATCATTTAGGTTCTCATTGGTCACAGCGTTAATTACATGTTGATTAGTAATATATTATGTATTACTGTAAAAAAAACTATAAATTTATCTTAAAAATAGTGAAATGTTATAAGTAGTATTTTAAGAAAATAGCAAATTTTAAAGGACAAGCAAATATTCAATTTCAGGACAAGCAAATGTTATAGCAATTTTTAAATGTTCTTGTATTTGGAAGGTAAAAATATATGTATAATAGTAATGAGGTGTTATGCCTCATATTTATAGTTGAGGTAGATATATTTTCTCTTTCAAAGAACAAAAAAAAAAACTGCTTATTTCTATTTTTGGAAAAGATATAATAAAAGTATGTTTATAGCTATCTATACTGTACAAAAATATGTTAAGCAATTATTTTCACATTTTTAAATAAAATATGTTTTTTTTCGAATGATATTATGTTTCTTCAATTTTTTTAATGATTCATGACCTTTTATTTGAAAATGATTATTTTTTATTCGATTTATTTGTTAGAGTACAATGTTGATTTAGTATAAAGATTTTATTTTTGTGCTTTTTATACAATATTTCTATAGCTATTGAAGTAAGTTACTGAATGATTAATCTATAATATTCAGCGTCACTTATTTCTGTAGTACTTTTTTTATGAATTTTTTAATTGTTTAAAACTTTTCAATAATGCCTGTTTTGATTTGCATGAATAAATATTTGCGCTTTTTAAATTATGATACTCTTAAAATTTAAAAATATTGTTTTAAACATTGTTCAGTAGCAAAAAGCAATTTTTAAAATTTTTGTCTTTATTTGTTAGCATCTAAATACACATTATGATGCTGATGTTCCTCTAGTACTTATGAATTCTTTTAATACTGAAGAAGATACTCAAAAAGTTCTGAGAAAGTACAGAGGATTTAGAATAAAAATATATACATTTACACAAAGCAAGTATGTAAAATGTACTTCATTATTATTTCTTTATTTACTTCATAATATTTATGTTATATATAATGACTAACTTCAAAGAAAGACAGTTTACGATGCTTTTTAGATAATGAATTTTGGAAATTTTATTTTTTATTACATTTTATTGAGACTTATCAATTGTAAATTAATTGCAAATTACTTAATAATTAATGTAATTTAGACATTGTTGCTTCAATTAAAATTGTATGTTGCAGAAAATTAATTTTCTGTAAAATAAATAAATAAATCAAATAATTAACAATATTTCAACCTTTCCCTCATTGGATGCGAAACTTTGGGTACTGACTGTAAAACTTACTGTGTAAACTGGCTGTATTTAGATAAATTTATTAATAAATATTTATTTATTATTCAACAAATGTGTTTCAATGTAAATGTGATTTCCATGATTAGAGGCCGTTTAAATATTACATAAACATATTTTTTCCGATTTTGGTCTCCCCTTCCTCTTTTGTCAGCAAAAATAAGCAAATTATAAATCCGCTCCCATGCTTAAATAGGAACACCCTTCTGGATTTTGCTTAACTTTGACTTTTAATGCAGCAATTTTATTTCCGAATTAAATCCAAACAATATAAGTAACTTAACATAAATAAAATGTACGTTTCAGTTTACTTTATAAAATTTTAAGTTGATTATTCTTAAGGAGTCTCTTGTGTTTTCTTTTCATATTCTGACCTCTTGTCCTCTGAAAATTTTTTGATGAAATTTTTTCCAACTTTTCCTTTCTCCGAATTCAACTTTTAATTCAAAGTTAAAAATTTTCCTTCAGTACTATTATTACTGCATTTTTTATTCTGCTTTTGAAATAAGGAAGTTTTGATGCCACACATAAATATTATCTACTGATATCCATCATATCACTTTGTCAGCAAAAGTAAGCAAATCACAAACTTCCTTTTTCCATTAACCTCTTGAAATATCATCTCTTGATATAGAAATGATCTTTGTTTGCACTGTAAGCAACAACTCTCAACGGAATGTTGACAGAGATGAGAACTGCTCCGGGCACGCCAAAATAATTAATAAAATGGTAAAGAACAAACTATATTTTGCAAATATTTGATTAACTGCCATTAGAAAAAATCACTAAAAAACTGCCTTTAGCAAGAATCTATCCAATATTATTGTTGGGACATTGACAATTGTCCTGTTGACATTGACACTGTGCAATTTTAACTTTATCATTGTGAATAAACATGACAAAAGACAAAGCCCCCCCTGAAATTTATCACCTTCTCAAAAACTATTTTTCAATAGTTAGAATTTCTGAGTATGAATGAGTGCTTATCTTGTATAACCTCTTGCATTGCTTTCTATGTATAACCTTTGTCATTAACATTCTTATCAGCTACCTACAAATTCATGCTATTTCTGATATTCATGGTCAAAAGTAGATGAACACATTCATATCCCTTTTCTTTTTCAACATCATTATTTTTATTGAATCAATTTCATATTATTAATTGAATAGAATGCAAGCAATAGTTTTCATTGACTCATATGAAATTTAAAAATAGAGCTTTAAAATGCCGATGTCCCAAAATTGGAACATTTGATTTTGAAGTAATATTTTAACTTCAAAAATTTGAAATAAAATTTTGAATTTGATGCATAAAAATTGTTAAATCCTTTTAAATTTTTGAAAAAAATGCTCTGAATTTTTTTTTTACACAATTCTGTGGTCCAGCCACTTTATTTAAAACTTTGGATGTCTAGTGATTTGTGATATTTATCTTTTTAATTCCTCTTTTATACCTTAAATATATATATAAAAAAATTAAGATTCAGCTAGCTGAATACTTAATTGTTCGGTGTAGTAAAAGATTTAGCATGGGTAACAGATGACGAAGTAAATCCATTTTTAAAGTAGCATTTTAGCTCCATTTTTAGAAATTACCAAGTTGTTGTATATTTTTATAATCACTTAAAGGAAATGTGTATCAAATGATGTGGATAATTTTTTTAAAAATAATATACAATTAGTGATTGTTATTTTGTCTGCAGGTATCCTAGAGTGAATAAAGAGAGTTTCATGCCTATTGTTTCATCACTTGATGAGGATGATGCTGAAGGGTAAGTAACAACTTTTGTATGGTGTCCCTCTCATTGAATTATCTTTAAAATTGATTGTTACATATTTATTTTTTAATAAAACTACTTTATTTAAAAAAACAGTTCTTCTGCTTTGCTCATCACTAAGGCATCAGGCAGAATTCTAATGTATAATGATAATACAAGGTGATAACAACGAGAATTATTTGTACAATTTTGTGTATATGTCACAGGTTAAATACAAAATCTGGCTCCTTGTGAACAGCTGCCTTTATTTTGTAATGGATCAGGCTAATTGGAAAAGTTTCCAGTCTTTTCTAGGCATTTTTTTAGGCTAATCAAAATGAATGCACATGTCGAAAGACTGTAAAATTTCAAAAGATGGCATCCGGAAGTATTCTGATTTCATTGCATTTGCTGCAGAAGAAAAAACTAGTTTTTGATCGATATACTTATCTCTAATTTTAAGTTATATTATGGTCGCTAATTTTAAGTTATATGGGTTATATGTGTGTCTTTCTACAGTAAAGGAGTTAAATATTCAATTAAAAAGACCTAATTCAGCAGAAATTTTAAGAAAACAAACCTTTTAAATTGTAATTTCTTATAACTTAATGAAACAAACTATGAAATAATTACTAAAACAGAAGGAAAACTAATATTGTTTCTTTTAATACAAACATTAAATGGATATATATATTAACATTGCCTTGGGTTTTAGCTTTAAAATACCATTTTTCAATTGATTCAATTTTCCAGCAAAGAAAAAGTATTGAATTTTCGACTTTTTTTCTTACGAATCCTCATGCTTATAATAAATAATCAATAGTAGAAAAATGTGTTTTGAAAAGTTAGTCTTAAAATTATTTTTTCTAGTCATTTAGCAATCTGACGCCCAGGTTTTGTCTGTCCTGGCATATGCTAAGTAGAAAATACATCGTTCATTGTTCAAGTAGCTTCAGAAATGAATTAGTGATTATTTGCAGGTGTTTTTATTAGCTTAAAGCCATTAGGCTTATTCTAACAAGCCTAAAAAATAACTGGCAGATTAAAAATGACTGAAGTGTTTTCCAATAAGCCCCTTGAAACAAAATATTAGCAAAGAATCAGATTTTTCAGATGGTCTATGTCTAATTTACTACAAAGCTTGAAAATACATATATTTGCTGATATATTTTTGTTGAGGTAGCACCAACACATGAACTATGAGTGGGCAGTGTTTAATGAGTGTTTAATGAATAATTTTATTTTTATGCCTTCATTATTTTCTTTTTTTTCCTAGTGCATATTTTTCATTGATTATTTCATATTTTCTTTATGTGTTCTTAGGTTTTATATTTTTTAATGTCTTTATTTTATGTTTTTAAGTGGAACTTGAATTATTAGGACTTTTGTTTATTTTAGTTGGTACCCACCTGGCCATGGTGATTTCTATGAATCGTTTTATAAATCCAATTTGTGTGAAGCTTTTCTTTCAGAAGGTAGAGAATATTGTTTCATCTCAAATATAGATAATCTTGGGGCAACTGTTGATATAAGTATCCTTTTCCTTTTATTTTTCCTCTTTTTTTTTTTTAAAGCTGTGCTGACCAATGTATCAACGTGCAAATTTTTAACAGTTTTCCTAAAATAGCATAAAATTATCTCCTTTAAAGTTTGGTAGATTATTTTATACGATTTTTTTTTTGATAAAGATTAAATTGAGGTTTAAATTTAATTATAGCTAAATCTAATTTACTTTATTTTTGAATGAAATATTTATGTGCCTATATATACATGAATCGTATTATAAAAGTCAAAATAATAATAATTAAGTTGAAAATTTTGTAGAAGAAAATTTGGTAAGTTTAATGAAAATGAATAGTAAATTTTTTTTTTATTGAATTGATTTCCTTCTTTGCTTGAATTTTAAATTTTATATAGGAAAAAATGTATCAAATGAATTTTACGTCCATGGAATTAATTATTGTTTCTTTTTCCCTTTCTCAATTTTAAGTAAAATAAGTCTCAGTTAAGTAAAATGGTTAAAAAAATTATCATTTTTATTTTAAAGGTTATATTTATATTAAATAGTTTATTTATATTTAAAAATTGTTATTATATTTATAGTTTATTTATATTAAAAAATTTAAATCAGAATTAATTTTAATTGATTTATAAATGTTTATCATGCAAAAGAAAATTAAGGCAAAACACGAAGTCATCATTAATAATCACATAATTAAATGTGATAAATCAAGTGAGTCAGTAATTTGTCATTGATTGACTTAATTTATAAAATGCATACGTAAATGCTTTATTAATAGATGATTATTCTTGAGCAAAATTTGGAAATTTTGCTGTTGGTCAATGGGCAGTTGTAGCATTTTTGACAGTGTCCACTGTTTAGAACGTGGGGCTACTTTTTCAAAGCTTTTAAAGCAGTAAAACAATTTGCAGTTATTGATAAAGTAAGGAATTTATTTTTTTCTTATTATTCTCGTAATAGGGTAAGATTACAAGGTTCATTTCGAAATGAAGAAATGTCTTAAGAAACAAGTGGGATAGGAATTAATCTTTAAAATATTATAAAATATTTTTAATAATTGCATGTTTATTTTTTTAAAAACATATTAATGAAAGGCGCATGGTTTGCATTTTTGACAAAAAAGTGGCAATTGGATGGAGACATGCAGGCAATATTTTAATCACCATTTATTATATTTAGTTGCCTGTGGCCAGTAGTGACCATTAATTTTGCCCTATATAAATATTGAGTGCTATTGAATTGAACGTAACTATAACACGCCGACAGATGACGATAATAAATGATCACGGGGTAATAGAAAACGAGCAGACAATGATCATGTAACGAGAGGTAGACGATGAATATGTGCGAACAGAAGAGACGTTCTTATCCCTGCTATTTCTATAAGTGTTTTTTTTGTTCTTCTTACTTTACATATGTTATATTAAATTTTTTTTAGTTATCAAGAATATGTTTTATTTGCCACCCTATATTAACATACATTAGGATTTTATATTTTTGTTATGAGATTACTAAACTTTGCAAACATGAAACGTGTAAGATATTAGTAAGGGAAATTATTTATCGCATATTCTTTTAAATATAACACTATTTTCACATGTACTGCTGTAAAATAAAAAGTATTTTTTATTTATTTATGTAAAATTGTATAAGGAATACAAGAGTAGATTATAGAGAAAGCTCATATATATTTTTTTAAACCAGCCTATCTTTTTACTTTTTTCTTGTTATTGCTTTGATATATTTAAAATTGTATTATAATAAAAAAATGTTCAAAAAAAAAGATTAAAATCTTAACCATCAGCTTAGATATTTTGAATTCGTTGTTAAACCCAACAAAACCACCGTCTCCAGAATTCGTTATGGAAGTGACTGACAAGACAAATGCTGATGTGAAGGTAACACATTGTTTAATACTACAGTCCACAGATGGCGCTTTGCGCATCCTAATTAATTATTCTTTGAGCTTGATAAAATAAATAGTGTATGTGTATCGATTCCTGTGTGTGGAGTGTTTCAATGTTTTCGATGTATAATTCAATATTCTAAGTTCATCTCCAATTCCAGTAAATTGTGACAAATTCTAACTGAATTGTGAGACATCCAAATGTTCCACCTTTAATTTTATAGTTCCAAGTCCATACAACAACCGAGTCAGGTAAAAATTTATGAAACATTCTTTTTCCCGCTAATTGCTAAATCACACATATTATACTGTGTTTTCTCAAATGCACTCCATGAATCAGTTGAACTGATTAAATTATTTAAATTTTTTCCTTTTAATAGCATTAGTTTTGAGATTTCAAAATTCCTTTGACATCAGTTTTCAAAAAAAATTATTCAATAATTTTAACCACCCTTTTTCTAGCTCTTTATATAGAAATTAGGATTATTAGTTTGATAAGAAAATGATGGATATTAACTCGAGATTGCCATTAACATGGGCATATTGAGAAATAGGAGCATGTGATTTAAAAGTTTGTGTTGTATACAAATATTTAAATTAATTAAGAAGCTGTTAAACTTTTTAAGTATTTTTTTTGTACAGCAGAAGCCTAATTAATTAATCAATGCTTTTTCATCCAACTCTTTGGTTATCCGACATCCCTTACAAGACATGTTTAAAGTTTCCCATGTTGTGTTAGGATGCTGATATTACCCAATAACTGCATTTCAGTTTTGTACCTCATGTGACTTAAAATTATTTTAAATTAAATTTAATCCAATTACTGCTGTTAATTTATTTGCTATTAAATTACAATTGAACATAAAAAAAAAGTTATATATGTATTTTTTCTTCATGGTTTTGTATTATTATTTTTGATCAAAAAAATTAAAATGCAAGTAAAGGTATTAAACTTCATTATAGTTCCTAATTGTATTTAGTAATTTTACTTCTAGCACACTTGATTTTATACATACTATACTTATGTTTGTATACTTGAGCACCCAATTTTATATATATTATACTTATGTTTATATACTTGCATACTTTATTTTATATATGTATATTATTTTATATACTATACTTATGTTTGACGCCCGGTGGCTGAGCGGTAGCGCTTCGCGCTGTCGTGCCACAGGTCCTTGGTTCGATCCTTGGGCCGGGCAAGGCCGACTCAGCCTTTCATCCCTTCAGTGGGTCGATAAAATGAGTACCAAGCATGCTTGGGAACTAACACTGGGGGTTCCGCGTTCGGCTGACCACCTGACCGGAACATATGCTCCTGCACCCCAGAGCCCAAGGTCAAGAAAACTGAGATGGGCACAGTCGGCCTTGGCCCTCTTAATGGGCTGTCGCGCCACTGAGTTAGTTAGTTATACTTATGTTTATATACTTGCACACTTGATTTTAAGTAGGTCCTTTGATAATCTGATGATTTTGGTTTTCCAACATGTCCCTGGTTACATTTGTGTCAGATAATGAGGGCTTTATTGTATTCACTTTATAATAAAAGTAAAATCATTTAAATTTGTTTATGAAAATTATATTCAATTAAATATCCAAAACCTTTACTATTTGCAGTCATTCAGAGGTACCAGCTGTTATGATTTATCTGTTATTTTTACTACTTTATAGTCAAGATTACGGTTTTACGGTTGACTAATAAAAATTATCGTTTTTAAAAGTTTTTGTGATAATCTGTTCAAAAAAAATTTTTTCCTTTTAACTACTGAGATATATGAATTTATTTTTGTTTAGGACTAATCTACAAATAGTTTTTTCTATTCTTCAAACAATTCTAAAAAAAATAAATAAAAAACAGAAATAATTTCATAGAAACAAGAAGTGAAAAAAAGCTAAGAAATCTCATTTCCCTCCCTTCCAATAAGTAATTCAAAAACTTAAATCTTTTCTCCTTATAGAAAAGCGAGAGAATATAAGTGGAGAGAAAATAGTTTGAAATGCTGTGAGCAAAAATTCTTTGTGGTTCAAATGCCCTATGATAAAAAATATTAGTTCTAATTTAACCCAAAACTATAACACTGATCAATTTAATTTTATAATGAATAAAATATCAATATTCTATATTTTTGGTACCTTTGCTTATTGTACTTCTGAGTACTGAAATGCTATCTGCCTACGAATATAAGAGATTTAGTATAAAAATTATTTTTGCAAATGATGAAAGAGAATTTTTAAAGAAATAAGTGACTTAATAGGAATGAAAAGTTCGAATTTATAGAAACGCATTGAATTTGAATTAGTTTTTAAATTTCAAATTTCTTTGACTAAATTTATTATATACCTACATAGAATTTAAATTCAAAATGAATGATTTAATTTTCATTAATTTGATAATAAAGTTTTTTTTTAATGACAGCATTTGAACATTGCTTATTTTTATATCACTTTTGACGCCAGCAGTATTTCATGTCTTTGGTAACAGATTTTGTCTTAGTGCAAAAACTGAGAATTCCAACCTGTTCTAGTTTAGCCAAAATCATTCTGTGGAAAGTACCATTAGAAGCTCCTATCTGTTTATGATCAGTATTAATTCAGCTGGTGTTATTATTATTTGTTTTTCTAACTGTATGTCCTGGTTTCATTGATTTTAATATTTATTTTTCATTATAGGGTGGTACTCTTATACAATATGAAGGTAAATTGTGTTTAATGGAAATTGCTCAAGTGCCAAAAGAACATGTAAGTTTGTATTAAGTTTTATTAAATATGTAATTTGGTCTCTACTTCTAAATTAAAAAAAACTTATTAATGTTAATTTTATCTACCACTATTTCCACTTTACTTATATGTACTTTAATTCCACTAAACAGAAAATGTTATCTGTTTAGTGGAATTACATATCCCTGGCCAAACATCTAGCCTCGTTCATCAGGGCACTATCGTCTGACAGCTATGGTAAGACTGCTGCATAATTCTGTTGTGGTCAGTTGACATGGACGGCACCTGAGCTGGAACTTAAACTTACCCTTCAAACTTACCACAAATAACAAGAAGATTATCAGTCATGTCTGATTTAATGAATGCCTTTCTGCATATGCCCACCAGTTTTTTAGCTGTCACTGATGAAAAGTTTGCTCTCCACCAGCTGTGTAAGAGATGCCTTAGCTGACTAATAGATACTTTTTTAAGAGGTTCTTCTTCTTGGTACTACAGCTAAGAGTAGGCCAGGGCCACCCCAAGAAGTTTCTCTCTGAGAGTCTGCTTCTTTATGTCATCAAGCCATCTAATGCAAGTGATGGTCTTGTTCGTTTTCTAATACCACCTGGCTTGTTGAAGATTAATATCTTTTCTAGGTTTATAATCCACTGATCTATGTGAGTGACAAAGATACTTTATTCAGTTTTATTTGAAGACAAAAACAATGTCTGATTGCATATATTGATTGTAGAAAATTCTCCATATTTTCTTTTCTTGTACGGCTCTGAAAATGTTGTGCAGTATTTTTCTTTCTAAAATTAGTAGCCTGTTTTTATAAGTTTAGTCAATCTCCAGCTTTTACTGGCGTAGAAGACTTCTGGTTTGAATTAATGTTTTATAAATACTGATTTTTGTTCTATTGCCAACCAGTTCTGATTCTTAAACCAGAATATCATCTATATGCTGGTACTATCGTATGTGTAGTATATCGTATATAGTATCGTATAGTTTATCGTATGTATAGTATCGTATATCGTATGTATCATATATCGTATGTATCGAAAGGTACAGGGTCGTAAAATCACTGTTGCCTTCCCTTACTAGTAGCACTCTGATTGTCTACAGAAAATTTCCACCCTTGCTACACCTGAAATAGTGACTCAGTTGTACAAAAATTAAAAAACTTCAAATACATATTAATAATAAATATTGTAAGATTAAAATTCAAACCTGTTCATATTAGTAAAAATCAAATATTAAAATTGACTTTATTACAATGTTCATCTTTTAAAACAATAGCATTTAAAGTAAAATTTCATACAGGATTCTTAAATAATGAGACATTAAGAGAAAATCTATTATAAATTCTCTGTGAACCAACTCTGATGTGAGAAAATTAGTAAAATCCGTTTTAATTATATAGCTATAAATTAATATCTCTAGGACAAAATTTATAAACTAATAGAATCTGAAACTAGATTTTGGAATCCTGAACATTTATTCGTCTTTCAGACAAGATTTTCTTTCATGAAAATAATTTATAATTTGTTTCATTAAAATGATGCTGTATAAGTGCAATGTTTTAAGCATGATTTAAAAAGGTTACTTCTTTGTTGCTATAACTTCTAAAATGTATTTAACATTCTCTTTTTATTAGATTAATATAAAGAGCTGTTAATAATAAAAAGTAAATAAATAAACAATAATAAATAAAATGTATGCAATACATTTTATTTATTACTGTATGTAATATAAAAACTTGTATTTTGTAAAATTGAATTGTTTAAAGTATTAGTTCATTTAGAAGGGATAAAAACTTTTTCTATGTTTGGTTTATTAAAAAAAATAAATAAAGGAAAATTTCCCTGTCAGAAATTAACGATAAAAAAAGCATATAACTAAAAAAGTGCACAGATGTTGTTTTGGTGGGACGCTTAAGTTTATTCATATTTGTGTGTACAATTATAAAGAAAATTTTCCTGAAAGAAATATTTAGAAATGTACAGCAAATTGAATTAAATAGAACTGCTGTAACTTAGAACTTCAAGATTATGAAATAGAATAATTTCTTTTTTGCTAATTAAATGGAATTCAGTTTTGATCACCAATTTAGATTAGTTTCGATTATGATTTCATAAAATAAAAATTTTGCTTTAAATGTTTAGTTCGTATTTGAAAGTGTTTATTTACCTTATTTAATTTTTATTTAAAGGTTGATGAATTCAAGAGTGTGAAGAAGTTTAAGTAAGTCTAATATTTTTATAAATAAGTTTATAAATCCTACCAGAGATTTTCATCAGGATGCAGCAAAAAATGTAGGAAATTGAATGCATTATAAAAATACTTGTAGAATTTATAGGAACACACATCACATGTTGAAAGGGAATATTTATTCCTTCTTATATCTGAGTTAGCTGCTTTTGAAATGAACTAAAATCAAGTATTAATGTAAAATAGATATATGTAATGTTTAGTAGTGTTCAGGTTAGGTTTTTTTTTTTGAATTTTTGACAGAATTAAGGAAAATTGCTGAATTTTTGCTTACATACCTACTTAATTGGTACTTAATCTAACAATTTCTTGGTATCTGAGTTAGCTGCTTTTGAAATGAACTGAAATCAAGTATTAATCTAAAGTAGATATACAGTAATGTAACGTATAGTGTTAGGTTTTCTTTGCTTGTGTAATTTTGCCAGAATTATGGAAAATTGCTGAAATGTTATTATTTTATTTTTAATTCCTTACATTGTTTTGGTACCATTATATAGAGGGATTTTTTTTAAAGTTGTGAAATAAAAACCTCTGTAACAAAAGAACCACTGATTCAAAATAAGTGAAATTGCTCCCAAAGCAAAGTGAGTCTTTTACAAGTGATTAAAAACATCTTAAGATCACAACAATAGAGAACGCTGTAAGTTAACGAAAACAAATAATATCATCAATTGGAAGAAATGGACAATGCTTTGAGAGAAAAAAACTATATTACCCCTATCAAAAACTTATGGAATGCCATAAAAGGCTTCTGTATGCATGTCATGTGCAAGCTTTTCTCCGGTCTTTACTACTTGTACAACACCATCTGTTGGTGAGATTTTACTTTTTTAACCACACTATAAAGAACATTGCTTTGGGAGCATACTGTTGAAATTTCAATTCATTTGGACCAGTAGTTCTTTTGTTGCAGGGGTTTCATTTTTCTAATTTGAAAAATTCCCCTTGTATTAATCAGATAAGGTTAAGAAAAGTATCAGTCTTATCTGATTGCGAAATTTATTACATTCTGTTTAACAGAAATAATGAGGAAAAGGGGGGGGGGGCATAAAAGGATGTAATATGTCTGAAAGAAATTTGTATAATTTCCTTGGAGATGGAGAGCTGAAAACTACAAGAGTCATTAAAATTCTGCATTTATATTGACGCTGATGTAATCTAAATGTATGGGAATTCATTATTGCTTTGTTCTAATAAATACAATAATTTTTAGAGTTTATTGAGAAAAAATTGTAGTTTGTTTTCCCAATGTTATCTTACTAGGTAGTTTTGTGTGATAACTTTGTGTTATTTTTCTGTTATTAAACCTTTTATCATAATATTTTAGTATTTGCTAACCATTGTTTCTAATGCTTCTAAAACAGTTATTTATTTTTTGGGAATTGCAGAATATTTAATACAAATAACCTGTGGATCAAGTTAGGAGCTATTGCCCGCCTAGTAAAAGAAGATTCTTTAAACATGGAAGTTATAGTCAATCCTAAGGTATGAATTAAATACCATCTTTTTTATGAATTTTTGAGTCTTTCATAAATAGCAATGTATTTTATAACTCTTAAGGTTCCATAAATTGAATAGCTTTTATAGTGTGATTCTTGCTTTTCTGTGTTCACTTAAGGGTATTTAATGTTGTAATTGTTCAAAAAAGAGCAACATTCAAGTTTAATTTTTTAATTATTCATATTTTGATTATGTATAAATTTGAATATCTATTTCAAAAAAGGTCTTATAAAACTCATATATAGTACAAAGATCCTATTTCAATCCATAGCCATGCCTTCATGATTGATAAAGTTTTTCTTAACATTTTTAATTTATACTTTGAAGTTATCATATTTTCATATAGACGTTAATATTTATCAAGGGAGCTGGATGATACATAATAAAATAAATGATAAAACAAAGGAAAGCCTTAAGTTGTTAACGTCTTAAGGTTTTTCATTATTTGAGGTCTTTAACCCACTGGCGGTTTAGCAAAAGGGCAAGATTGGGAGAATGTTTCTCCCCGAAACACTATTTCCCTATCTAATTACATAGAACAGTTGGTTTTGCTATGCGGTGAAAACTGTAGGTTAAAATACGAATTATGTGCAGAACCGTCAGAGGGTTAAGCTTTTCTTTGTTGATAAAATGCTGACAATTTTTAATGTGGTTTATAACAAAATCAATCTCAATTTTATATTTGCACTATTACACATTTTACCCACCTCATAAAAGTTTTAGCAGGGAGTTTGCCACCTAAATCCTCCATATCTGAATTTGTTTAATCTAAAGTAGTTTAATCTTAGTTAAAACATGGTTACAAACGCACCACTATTCCTAGATAAAGTGAACACTTTTTGAACTCATCATTTTCTGACCTGTTGATCTTTATGTGATTTTTCAAGTCTTGTGTTAACCCTTTAAAAACATAATGTTATTAAATAACTGTAATTGTATTACCTTTACTTTTCATTTCATGTAGCACCATTTAAATAGAAATATTGTTAATTGCCTAAAATAGTCTTAATTGTTTTTCATCAAATTTATTCTTTTATATTTTCCTTTCCACAATTCTTTCTTTTATTCATCTCATACGTAGACTTAACTTAATCTGCATAAAATTCAAGAATAGAAAAAAAAATTGTATTTGGAATGTATAGCATTAATAATTGTATTTCACATTTGTAGATTTCAGAATATTTTTGCATATGATATTTTTTTTATAATCTCCAGTCTGATGTTCATTGTCTATGTATGTATGTATATTTAAAGTATATTCAGAATGTTTTTTTTTCCCATTAAAGCATTTAGACAGTGGAATAAATGTTATACAGTTAGAAAGAGCTGCTGGTGCTGCCATGAAAGATTTCTGTGGAGCACTTGGTAATGATTTTTTTAAAAATATTTATTGCTATTGTAGATCTTTTGTGTTATTTTTTAGGTAAAAGAATTGAGAGAATAATACCATATTTTTTTCAAATCGGTGAAAGTTGATACGAATATTCTTGTCCTGTAGCTTGAATAGAGGCAATTTGTAGATTTGTTAATGGAATAGCCATTATCAGTTGGATCTGTTAATAGAATGGCCACTGTCTGTCAGTCAGTTGATAAAATAACTTCAAAAGTAGGTGGAAAGTATAGTCTCAATTATATATTCAGGACAGCAGTCAGAAGTGTTAGTTATTTAATAATAATTGGTCTGGAATAATCATAATCAGTTAAGTCTGTTGATAGAATAATCGCCGTTTATCAGTGCATTGAAAGCCTAGTCTTCATTGAACGTAGGTTGCAGTAATCGTGGAAATATTTTCTTTATAATTCATTCAAGACAACAGTCAAAAGTTTTAGCTTCTTAATTTTGGTTGATCAGTAGTTAGAATAATCACTAGCAGTAAATCTGTTGATAGAATAGCCATAATTTGTCAGTGTGTTGACAGAGTTGCCTTAAAACTAGGTTGCAGTAATCTAAAAAAAAATATTCCTAATAGATTTTCCATGACTGCAGTTTTAGTCTCTTAATCTTGTTTTTCTTTCATATTTCTAGTTACTTCTGTAACTAGTAAAAAAAATTTTAAAAAAAATGTGACGGTGAATAGGATGATGAATTTGCCAATGACAATAAGATTTCATTTCTCAACAGGAATAAATGTGCCAAGGAGTCGTTTCCTTCCGGTGAAGAAGACTTCTGATTTGCTGCTCGTCAAAAGCAATCTCTATGCCATGCAGAATGGCACTTTGGTTATGAGTAATTTGAGAGCTTTCCCCACTGTGCCACTAGTCAAATTAGGAGACAACCATTTTGCAAAAGTGAGTTTTATTTTATTTATGTATGTTTAATTAATTTCAAATAAACTCACCTGTTCAAATAAACTCATAGGGCTTTAATATTTGTCTTAGCTGCTCAACTCAAATAATATATCTGAAAAAAATTATGAATAATAATTTAGAAATTTAATTGGTAGTTATTATATTATATATGATGATATGGGCAAAGATTGTTGATCAAATTTTTGATAAACTTAACTTACATTGAAGTGAAATATTCACTACTCACTGCAAGGCAATCATGGAGTTGCACATATACTTTACTATTGTATTAGTACTACAGTATTAGTACTACAGTACTATTTGAAGGGCATACAGATTGATAACTCCAAATATTGGCCACCTCTTAACGAAGGTCAACAAGCACAGTCTCAAAGGGTCTGTTGTTTGGAGGTTTTACTGCAGTTTCAAAATTATATTTTATTTTTCGAAAAACAGATATGTAATTATGTTGTGACCTGAAATATGAATAATGGTCTTTCTTCATTTCATGTTTTAGATTCAGGAGTTTCTGAGACGTTTTGCTAGTATTCCTGATATGTTGGAATTAGATCATTTAACTGTATCTGGTGATGTTACATTTGGGAGAGGCGTGTCTTTAAAGGTGAATAACATATTTAATTTTTAAGTTGATAATTAAATAGTTATTGTAATATTTAAGTGGTTGCATAATATTTTGATATAATGGTTTTTTAAAAGTAAAATAATGAGGTTTTAAAATGTTAGATATAATGAAATAATTTTAGCTTCGTATTAAAAAATATATATATTCTGAGTATCCTAAATTAGACTAACAGACTTAAAAATTTATGACAAAAAAATATATGATTTTAAAAAAATTGCATCAAATTTATGTAACAGGAGAAATTCAGAAATTTTGTGATAAATGGTGCTTAAGTCCGTTTTAAGAGTACACTAGATTGTGGGAGAAATTATTTATGTCGATTTCTCTTTTACCTATATAAGTAATTTGAAATTTAAACTATGGAAAAAGTGGTNTCTTCTTCACACGACGGCTTAAATCAGATTTCTGATGCATCGCTTGGAATGAAAGTTGCTGTATCGTTTGCCGATATAGGCGTTAAATCGATATGTCGCGATATATCGATTTATAGCCCAGTCCTAAACAGGACACATACATTTTTCTTCCAGAGTTCCTTGCTTCAGTTCAGAAATTTTGTGATAAATGGTGCTTAAGTCCGTTTTAAGGGTACACTAGATTGTGGGAGAAATTATTTATGTTGATTTCTCTTTTACCTATATAAGTAATTTGAAATTTAAACTATGGAAAAAGTGGTTTCAGGTGAAAGTTAACCAGGAAGTTTCAAATGCTGAAAATGCTTTTCAAGATATCAAAATGCAAGCAAATTATGGCAGGATTATTTGGAGTTAAGCAAGTTATTGGGCAATAATTTTGTATTTTGAAATCCTTTTCTCAGCATTTTAAACTTTATGGTTTACTCTAGGCTTCCTAAACTCACTTTTTTTCTCAATTTTAAATTTTAAAGTACCAGTGAAAGTAAAACAGAAAGTACCACAGAACGTTTATTTCTTAGTATAGCATCTGAATTTTTTTTTTTGAGTTTTAATGTTTGCAAATTTCATCGTATAATGTTTGCAAATTTCATCTTCTAATGTTTGCAAATTTCATCTTCTGATGCCATTTCTCACTAGGAGTGAATCCTCTAAAAAAACTGATTTTAAACCCCTAAGTTTGATCATAGCTTAGACTGTGGACCAGCATCCTTGGCCTTGTACTACTCAGTACGCAACTCATTTGTGGGCTGTGGACCATTTGTTGGGAACCATTGTATTCTTTAATTTAAAAAAAAACTTTTTTAAATTTTTTTTTTAGAAAATTACAGCCTTGTTTCTCTTTTAATGTAACTTTTAGTGATTGATGTGATAGTGAACGGTATTTTGAATCTCATTTATGGCTGACTATAGTTTTCTTTTCCTTAACAGGGCACTGTCATTATTATTGCTAATCATGGAGATAGAATTGACATTCCACCTGGGTCAGTATTAGAGAACAAAATAGTGTCTGGTAATCTTAGAATATTGGATCACTAATATTTTATTTATGTAGCTTGTGTAATCTCATTTTATTTATACACCATGAAAAAAATATGCATGCACAATTTAAAAAAAAAAAATGGTTACATTATGAAATTAATGAGCATTTAAAATGATCTGTTAATCAAACAAAAAATATTGTTCTGACATATCAGTTTTCAGAGGTGCCTTAGTCTCTGAAAATGTAATAGAAATATTACATTTATATGGACTAAGTATTTTGTTATAATTCTAATTGCATTTAAGACACCAAATAAAATTTTAAGGGATAAAATATAAAATAATCTTTTCCATATCTTTAATTTACAGGCATATTTTTTTTATATATTTCTTATTTACAGGCTTTTCATGTATGAGAAAAAAATAAGTTACAATCTTTCAAATTTTTATTTTCGAACCAGTATTATATTTTATAGCATTTTCTTAATGAAAAAGATTATGCTTTTGTTTTTAATTAGTTATTGAAATCATTTTATTGAGTGAATCATTAGAAATGTTTAATATTGTTAAGATAGCATTTTATAATTCAGATAAATGCAGTTAAATTAAATACTTTACTTTTATTGTTTTTTTGTCACTATATAAGGGGAGAAGAAACGATCTGCTGTGTTAATACCTTCCACAATATAAGAAAATAAATCAATTTTACAAATACAGGACAAGTCCTAATCAGTACTCTAATTTCTTAGGTGAACTATACAAATCGTAATAAATGTATTCATTAAAAATGTATACACAAGCTGAGATAATTTAAATAAGTTGCGAATATACTTTTTGCAAATGTTCGATATGTGCTTTTATTTTATGGAATACATCAACTGGGAAATATGATTCTCAGCTAACTTGCTTTTCTATCGACACTGACGATAGCTGTGATATGCACTTTCAAATCAATAGTGTTTCCTGAACAAAGCGTCACTAACACACGTTTTTTATGAAGCATGACAAAAAGAAAATTCCTTGTAGCCTGATCTGGGTATCATAGTGGCAATGGTAAGAGTAATTTGTCTGCAGTAGATACACCATTTAACTAAGGTATTGTTTAGTTTTCCTGAAAACGCTGATTTACGATTGGAATTCTAGCGCCATCTATTGACGAATTTTCAAAATTACCACTGATCTGCTCCAGTATGTACATTTTAATGAATATATTTATTGCTTTTTGGTAGTACTCTTATTAATCTGGGGCAATTCTTTTGAGCTTTGTATTTTATTATCATTTATTGATCAACTAGTGTAGTAGTCCTCTTTTTTCCAAACTATGTGTTCATTGACTGGATGTAAAATGTGAAGATGTGTTTAACAATTGTGGTATTATGTGGATGTTTATGAATTACTAACATATTTATTACAATTATAATAAGGAATCTATTTTAAATTTACTTGTTATACAAAAAAAGTTGGAGTATTTTTAACTTAAGAAAAAAATATTTATTTTAAACTGTAGCATTTATACATGTTAAATTTTAGATAGTGCCATAATATTATAAAGTGTTTAGATAAAAGCATGTCAATCACCATGTTATCTGTATACAGATTCAATAAATGTTGTTTGAAATTATTTTGTTTGCTTCGTTTTTCATGTATGTATTTACTAAGGGAATTTCAGAATAGATTTTTAAACAGGAGAAAAAATAAAAGGAATTATTTAGTGTAAATTTCTTGAAGCTTGAAATTCAGAATTTTTCATCTAGTTCCTTTTTTTTTTATTAATCATTGATAACTGTAATAGAACTGAATTTTAATAATTTTCTATTTTTAAAATTATATTAGTTGTTATAAACTAAAATGCGTATAATTTTTTTTCCATATTGTAAATTTTTTTATATTTATATTTTTTTTTAATTTTTGAACCTATTTTTAAAGAAATGAATTTTATTTTATTATTAAAAACTTATGTAAGGCTTCAGAAATACAGCACATAAAGTTAGTATAATATCAATTAGAAAACTATTGTAGTTTTATTTTCTAATAAGGAAAATTTCTGTCTTATATATGTCTAACTAATTAGAATTTAATAGTTTTCTTTTTAGTGAAAAAAAAAGATATAAATAAATTTCATAGAGATAGAATTCAATAATTATTCTTTCTTTCCCAGTATATTAGAGACAATTTAAGGAACTGCATGATGATACTTTTAATGACAATGCATTTTTTAAATTCTAAAAATTTGTATTTCTTTAAAAAAACACAAAAAGTTTTTTTCCCCAAAATTTGAGATTTTTGTAAATTTTCATTTTTTGAATCTTAATAAAATTTAAAATTTTCCAGTTTTATTTTAATAAATCTATATTTCTTAAAAAGTAATATACTAGATTTAAAATAATTTTTATCAATGTACAATAAAGTAGAAAATGTTTTATTAAAATTAACGTAAAAAAAGGTATGTTCCCTTTCACAAGTTTATTTTAAATATTTTTTTCTTTTGAAAAAAGCAAAACAAATTTGAGTAGAGAACAATAAAAGAGCAGAAAGATCATACTATAGTTTCAGTTTTATAAACGAGAACTGTGTCCAAACACAAACTCTATTTACAAAATTGCTTTTATATATTAATTAATTTTTTCGTAATTTGTTAATATTTATTTTATTTTTGTTAAAATATTGATTATTTTTCACCTTCAAGTATGTTTTTCATACAAACTAGATAGGTTTTTGTTGAATGTGAGTTTTTAAGAGTCTAAGTATTAAAATCATTTTGAAATAGTTACAATAAATTTAAAAACATTTTACTTAAAAAGAAAATAATCAGGTTTAAAATCATAAAACGAAGATAATTTCTAGTGTACCGCTCACAAGTGCGTTGTTAGAGAGGTTTTTTAAATATTTTTGTTAAAGTTAATCAGAAAGATATTGAGCACATTACGGTATCTTTTTGGAAGTGGACAAAATAAAATAACTTTTAAATTTTTGGAAGGAGTTTTCAAATATTAATGTGATAATTGTCTAAAAATTTTCTTAAATTCTAGTTTGAATTGCGATGTTCTAATCCTTGTCGAATATCATCTATATTGCTGAATATTTATTTATAAATCCATTTTTAAGAAAATTCGTCTTAACTATGGTTGAAAATTTTTCTTCTTCGTACATGTATATAAAATAAAGTAAGCATTGCACATTTTGGGAGGGGGGGGGGCGAGGTATAAGATAAAACTTTTATCCTTATTAAGAAAAGTTCTGAAAATTTTTTCTCAATTACGATTTGTAAAAAAATATAAAAATTGTAATCAAAACCGAATTGTTTTTCTTTTGATTTTTTTAAAATTATTTTTTATCAGTAGAATGTGCTTATCTCACCTAGAAAATTGTCGAAATTAAGCTGGATATTATAGTTATTACTGTTCCTATATATAAATTTAACAGTTTATTATTTAATATTTCCTTAATTTATTGTAAGTAAGTTTCCTTAATTTATTGTATTCCTGTATTTATTGTAAGCTTTTAAAATATTTATAATATGTTTTACAAATTTATTTTGTCGGAGAGAATTGCCCGTAATGTGCATTTATGTGAAGTGAGTGTTCTTATGAAACATTAATAATATATTTGGCTCTATGCAGCATACTATCAAATTGATTTACTCTTACTCGGATGAACCAATTTGATTTATCCAATTATTACAACTGAGCCAAAAGATAGTCTGGAATAATGAACTAAAGTTCACTATTGAGACTGGCCTACCTTAAACCGTAACCAACTAGATGAAATTATGCAAATCGTAGGGAAACAGCCTGAATTGGACAAAACATCGGCTTTATTCCTGTCTTATTGCTAGTGTGTACACTGCTGAAGGAATTTGAATTTCTCCAACTTCATATGTTTCTCAATGTGGATGAAGTTGGAGAAATTTATTTCTCCAACTTCATTATTTCTCAAACTCCCTTTAAATATATATTCTTCTATTTAGACATTTTGTGTAACAGATCTACAATAAAATTCAGACAAAGCGGTAAAACGGCTTTGCAAGAATTTATCGTATCTCGTCCACCATGGTTTTATGCTACTGGTGTGAACAACTTACCACTTATATACACCCTTGTGCAAATTAATTTAAACAAACTCTATAAATTCAGAAAACTAAGAGAAAATGCTATTTTATTTAAATTTATAAAAACTCAAAAATTTTTAGTACATAATATGATCTCCACGACATTTTATTAACATTTGGACACGATTCGGCATGGATTCCACTAATTTTTTACAGTCATTTATAATATTTGTGTCCTTGTACCACACATGAATTAACGCCGTGATTAGCTTCTCCATAGTTGTACTGTCCATATTTAGTAGGCGATTCTAGCATATGGCCCAGAGATTCGCAATTGGGTTGATATCCGGAGAGTTCCCTGGCCATTCCAATGTCTCAATTTGATTCTCAGACATGAATTTCTTGACAATTTTGGACGTATGACAAGGAGCTAAATCCTGTTGAAAAATCCCTGATCCATCAGGGTATCGTTTCTTCTACTCCGGAACAACTTTTTTACCCAGAATAGTAATGTACTGCTCAGAACGCATCATACCGTCAATAGGCTGCAAAGGTCCAACCCCATTGTAACCGAAACAACCCCAAAACATCTTCTTTAAAAAACACGAAAAAAAAAGTTTGTTTCAATTAATTTGCACAAGGGTGTAGCAAATGCGTATAGACAATATGGGCGCATAATTTAATGAATAACAAACATCTTATGTCTATAAGTTTAACAACCAAGCCTGCCAACGACCTAATATAATATATTCTAAATATATCATATTTTTCACTTAGTTGGCGCTGGATTGCAGTTCCGAAATACACTTTGTTAAGGTTGCGAAAAATTGGCGTTATGTTATGGTTAAAGAAATGTTTTAGCAGCATACAGTGCACACAAAAAAAAAGGAACACCCTAAATAACTTTTAATCTAATGATCGGATTTTCAAGAACTAAATGCTAATCTTAATGGTTTAAAAGGGGATGACCTCAAATATGCTAATTAATTAGCGCAGACGATATTTTAAGTTATGAAATCAGACACAGATACGTACTTTCCTTCAACAACCTTTAACATGCTTTTTTTATTTCTGAATTATCGACGATTAGAAACAGAGTGGGAAATATGGTCCCAATCATTTGGTCAGAAAAGCGGTCGAAAGTTTGGACCCCCTAATGTTAATTTGACTTTTTGCATATATCGCAGCATCTCGGTAACTTTTTAAGCGAATCTAAAATTTTTTGCATATAAAATTTGTTTATCCAAAGATAAATTCCTATCATAATAATAATTAATAAAAAATCCATTTTTTTCCCGAGGACTGATATTTTTTAAGGTTGAGTTCCGTTACCTTGTATTCCCTACAGTGATGCTTTTCCTGATATATTCTAATCTGGTATTTTATATTAGCGATCGTAGATGCTAATCACATTAGCCAGTTTGCAACCGGAAAAAAAAAAAAAGCAAACTGTTCCGTAATTCTGAAATTGAAAATAGACTTCCTCTCTGGATAAAGGCTGGTATGCAACTTTTCCCAACTGCAAAAGAAATTAAGTTCTAGTTTGAAACCGGTACTGGTTTATAAATAACGCCTTCTTATCACATACTTCAGTTGCCATAAACCATACCTGCCAACTTTTAATGCTTTCAAGGATGATATTCCCCAGTGGTAGTAAAATAAAATTTAAAATACAATATTAAGCAGAAAAATTCGCTGTATTTTGTACAAGCTTATGCGGATTATTACAACAGGGTTACATATTATTATATATGCATAATTTTTTTAAAAATAGTGGTGGATCAAAAATATTATAAATTAAGTTTATAAATACAAGGAACATATAGAAAGCATACATTTTACTACCACTTTAAATATAGAAATAAAATTTTACGCCAAATGCGTAAAAGTTGGCAGGTATGCATAAACCAATGGACAATTAGTCATCTTTTTATTTTGTAAGTTATCCGAGCTTTAAGCCAAAACTGTCCAAAATTTAAACAAACACTGGTTTTGAAGCGTGCTTGTTCCTCTCTAAGTAAGGCTTGTTACTTAACAGAATTGATTGAACCTATTCCCAGGTTTCAAATAACTACGAAATTGGAGGCAATTATTTATAGTCTTAATCGTCATCATCTATTATTTAACTACTCGTCTGTAATTTGTGCATATAAAGAACTCCGTTTGCCACAAAGTATAAGACCACGCTTTTATGGAATCGGAAGAAATTGTAAAAATTGATTTATATATATATGCTTTGGAAGCATTCACACTGTAATTTCGTAGTGTGGCCGGTGCTTAATGGAAATAGACACAGGAACGTGTGGAGAGATAGTAGAATTTTATTTAAGTAAGGCCCAGAGGCCCCAAAATGAGAGCTTTATATGCTGGTGGATAGATAAAGTAGAGACACTTTGACCTTGGAAATTTTTTTTAATATCTTTTTGGAAAATATTTTTAAATATTAATAGGTCTTAGTATCGTGGGACTGATCAATTTTCCAAGCTACTTAAGACACATCATATTTTTTTAGATTATTAGATCAATATTATTACTTTTGTGGGATAGGTTTTCAGTGATTGTGCGTTAGATTT